GTTGCTCCGCTCCTGCGGTAAAGCGGAGGTGTCCACCACCGTGGTCGTCGTGACATTCTCAGGCGTTCCGATCGTGGGAGGAATCGTAATTTGAGGTAGGACGGGCTGAATTTTGTTTGTCACAAAGACACCCTTCACGAGAGAGGTAATGAGACTGGACTTGCCAGTGCCCTCATCCCCGCAGACGCAGATGCGCACTAGGTCATGTCATGTCAATCTCATATCAACAAAAACAATCAAGGACTGGCCGAACCTGTAGCCATTGGTACTGGTTACGTTTTTCAATCTCAAACCATTGTCGAAATCATCTCATCAGTCCACCAAGATGGTTGCTGGGACACTGGCGCAGGTACAACAGACACTGATTCATGGTTGGAACCTTAACTCCATGACTATTGCTGATCCCCGGAGTTTCGGGCGGTGGCAGTGCCGTATTTGCAGCCTCAGGTTTCCACATATGCGGCATGTGACTGGGAAGAGTGCGATGTCCCGTACCAAAAGAGGGCCTGGACGGCGAAAGTTGGACCAACGTCTTCGAACAAGGTTTATACATAAGTATATCATCTTTCATACTCCAACTGATATATTGAGCTCGGATGGTGGACTATCATAAAAGGACTCAGCCACTCGCACCCGGAGAGCTATGATGCCGGCGCTGCTGCTGACGGAACTTACTAGATAGTGCGGAGTACCTCTTAGAGTATCTTGACCTGCTTTGCTGTCCATCGTCTGAAAGAATCTGTGCCGTGTTCGAGTGCTTCACAGACACAATAACATCAAAAATTAAGACTGCTTTTATTTATTGACTCTTGAAGTTATCCCACCGACTTTGTTAATCAATCATTTGTGTATTTGCGAAGGTTGTGCTAGCTATCCTAGTATTAGACTGGATCAGCCGTCATCAGTTCCACATCCGGGCGACCCATCTGGGCGAACGAACTCCCCGTTGCGCAGCATCCTACGATCACAACTTTCTTTCGTATCACTCCTGACTTTTACTCTCCTACAACTCACTGATCCTACGATCCGACGAGCGTAGTCAAAATGCCTCTCGGAATTCACAACCCACTGCCGTCGTCGTTATCAAGTACGTATCAACATTGCTTATATCTCAATTCCCCGCAGTTGGGTTTCCGCAGTAGGTGAGTGCCCGGCTGATCATTGTTCTTTCTCAACAGGCGAATGTAAGAAGGCGGGCAAAATTCTTGCATCTTTTATCGATCCGAGACAAGCCTTCGGTCCTGATAAGATCATTCCTCCTGAGATCCTCGCTGGTGCCAAGGTAAGTAAGAGAACGAAGTCTTATCTTCAAAGCGCTTTCGCCGAGCTAATCGCTCGGTCAATAGGGTCTCGCTATTCTTACTGTCCTGAAAGCTGGTTTTCTCGGTTCTGCTCGGTTTGGCTCAGGGATTGTCGTCGCTCGTTTGGCCGATGGCACATGGTCGGCACCTTCGGCTATTGCGACCGCCGGTGCTGGGTTCGGAGGTCAAATTGGATTTGAATTGACTGATTTTGTGTTCATTTTGAATGATGCAGCAGCAGTGCGGACATTCTCGCAGGTCGGAACCTTGACTTTGGGTGGAAACGTGTCAATCGCCGCAGGGCCGGTGGGAAGAAATGCGGAGGCTGCGGGCGCAGCAAGCACAAAGGGCGTCGCAGCGGTGTTCTCCTACTCGAAAACAAAAGGTCTATTTGCCGGTGTCAGCTTGGAAGGAAGCATGCTGGTCGAACGGAAGGACGCCAACGAGAAGATGTATAACAGTAGAGTCTCAGCACGTCAACTCCTTAGCGGTACTATCCGACCTCCCCCCGCAGCCGACCCTCTTCTCCGGGTGCTGAACTCCCGCGCATTCTACGGCAATGGCAGAAACGGAGACACCATGTACAATGATATTCCCATCTATGATGACAGACATGACGATGTTGTCTGGGAAGGCCGAAGGGGCGAGGCATACGGTGAGGGGCAACGGCGTGACCGCGGCGGTTTTAACGGCACCGATGACTACGAGTATCGTGACAGACCTCGCGCGAATACGTGGGCAGACGACGTTTACGATCGGCCCGCCGCAGGTTTGGCCCGTTCGTCTACTATGGGTCACGCCGATACATTCGACAGATACGGTGGCCGCAGTCGGAGCAACACCGCTCCATTTGAGGAAGATTACGTCTACTCCGACCGCAAGCCCAGCCGGCCAACGGCACCCAAACCTGTCTTCGGGCAGCGCACAGGTCAAAGTGCTCCTCTGCGGGCAGATCAGGCTGTCGCATTGTACACATTTGATGCTGATCAGGAAGGAGACTTGGGCTTCAAGAAGGGAGACATTATCACGATCTTGAAGCGCACGGACAAGGCGGAAGATTGGTGGACAGGGCGCATTGGCGACAGGGTCGGCATCTTTCCCAGGTGAGAATATCCTTTTCGGTGACCAAGAAGGCATCCATACTGACACCAAGATTAGCAATTATGTCGATGCAGCTTGATCCAAGTCACGACCCCTTTGCTGCTTGGTGCAGAATGACATTAACGAACTGATCATCCACTCTCTGAACAAGCCATTCCAAGATGCCACTCACAAATTCCCGTCTTGAAGGTCTCTTTAGCTCCTTTCATGATGTAAGCGCTGGAGTTCTTGTCCGTTAGGTGTATCCAAATCATGACTGAACGGGTTCCAAAGGAAGGAAGCAATTTTTCGTATCAGGCTTCAGCGAGGGCCTTTTTCTCTATATCCTTGTCTTTTACCCTTTTTTTTCAGACTCTTGCGTCTTGCGATCGACACTGCTTTTAGGGCTACTTAGGATTGTTTCTTTTGCCGCCATTTTTGATCTTAGAGATTGATTGCATGCTTGTGCTTTTCACTCATTGTTATCAGCTGTTATATGGCGTCACAGGCCTGCATCGTATTCAATGGCATCCCAGGAGGTTTCTGAATGCTTTACTCCAGCCCCCTTAGGGTATCTGCTAAGCTCTACAGACATCTTCTATGGAATATTGCTGGTAGTCAGCGGATCCAGTAGATCCAGCAGATCCGGTGATAAGCAGTGTAATCAGGGCCTTTACTTCAGGAAATGACATAATCTGCATACCGATTGATGCATGCACATTCCATCAGAGGTATGTTTCAAGTCAAGCTTCTAATGACCCTAGACCTTTACCAGACGTTGGTGAATTTATACGATTTCGACAACAGAGCACGATCGTGATCTGATCCCAAGATTACTAGTAGGTTTGGATGTTGAGGCGTGGTATGGTGACCGACGATAGGCACGAGACCTACTATGATGACCCTTAACCACACAAAGTAAGAGGACTATGAGGAAATAATAACAACAACTTGATATCGACTGTAATCACGGTAGGAGTAATTCTGAGAAAGAAAAGCTCAGATACGCTATTATTTCGCATCTTTTGTCTCTATGCAAATGAGTGTTTATGTTGAAATGACTGATCAGGTGGAATAAAGTTCTGTATGTACTAGACAGTAGACATGGGGACCCCAAGGCTAGGTAGGCTAGGCCAACACGAGGAGGGAAGCCACTCGGTGGAGCCGCGCAAGAGCACCAAAGTCATAGGCAGAGTCACGTCTACTGCGGGTGAGGTCACTCATATTATGCCGGTAGTCAGTTTCAATTTCACTTGATGCATTTCTGCTCCGAGACCTTCTTGGTACGAGGGATGGATGACTGGAGCTCTGCTTAGTGAATGATGAGTGCCCACCGTTATACACTCCATAACCCAGAATCCTTTATCTGGAGAACCGTCAAGCGGCAGCCACTGGCGGTAAGGAGCTCATAAAGTTGCCACCGGACGACTGTGATTTGAGGCTGATAGGGTCCAGTAGTCCACTCATATTCCAGGACCCGGGGTTGATTAATTATTCGCCTATAGTAACGACATGGACCGATGATCGTCATCTTTTCATAGTTCCCACAGGCTCAGTATGTACTCCGAGTAGTTGCGACCAGATCGATCGTCCATAGAGCGGCGGCCCGGATTTGAGATGGGCCTCGAGTGGAGCTAAACGATGACCGAGGCAGAGTGGACCGATCCGTGAATCCAGCGTGCATTATTAGCAACAGGTTCGACGGTGCGAATATGGGTTGAAATTGGCAAATTCTGCTCTATAGGGGATGAGTGAGGAGGAACTACACCTATGCAGGTGATGTGATCGAGGTTGAAACATAACCTGAGGCACACGAGTTACCCTCAGTACGGAGGTATGTGGATGCACTCCATGTCTTAGACTAGTCTACCTTATGATATTCTGGAATTTGTTAGAAGTAGATGGTCATTTATTCAGTATGCCATTACTTTTCTTAAGCCCATTATTCGAAAATAAGGTACCCAATGAACTGAATAAAAGGGGAAATAGCAGAATTTCCAACCTTCTCCAGGGTACCTTTGTGGTACCTGGTTTTTATCGCCTGATAAAAATAATACCCAAGAACCCAAAAGCCCCCAAAGACCAAGGTAGCCTAAACATCCTAACCCGACGCTTGTTATGGAGCAGTAGGGATGTCTTCAGAACACACTACTACAAAGGAAGTTTAGCTGGTTCTTTCTTACTTACTTACCTTACCTTACTTGCACTACTCTACTACTCTACTTCCTCATCCTGCTGATATTCCTTCTCAATAATTATCCTGGTGATTATTATGCTCTCCACCTTCAGCTAATTCTCCTCACTCTTCCTCCTTACTGAAAGTCCTTCCTCCTACTTGCTGGACGGGTTGTTGTCACCGGATGTCTAGCCGTCAGCCTTTCCCTTATTGTCTTCTTTTCTTGCTCCCTGGTGGATGGTTTTCCCCGTCAAACACTATTGCTGTTGCTGCCAGTGTTTCTTCCCCGCTTCCATGATCATCCTTCGCTATCTCCCGGCCTAGGTGCTATATACATTCCTGTTTGACCTCCCTCTCCACAATCGACTTTCCCCGTCGACCCTTCTGTCCTCAGCAAAATTCGGGAAGACAATTTACGACGGCTCCCGAATTGTTTGGCTCTCATGCAGGTGTGTTTGCTCTAAAAGTCGTCCCATTAATCCCTCTTACCTGTTCGAACTTGCTTTTTCTGCTTTCCCCTTCCCCTTGGTCGGAACCGGCCTTTCCCCAACCTCCAAACCGCGGAGCCCTCTTCCAGACGCCTTGTGGACTGTCCGCGTTCTGCTTGATGAAGAATCCGTTTTTAAAAAAAAAAAGTCTCTCTGACTGGTCTGTTCGTTTGATCACTTAGGCTTCACCGAGCCCCTCTGAGGCTGGCGGAGGATACGGAACGCGGAGAGGCCATGTGCCTCAATTATCTATTAGTGACCCGAGCCATCATGTCACGGAAGCCATCGGGCATATGTACGAAGACGATTACGACAGGCGGGAGTCCAAACGTCTCAGCTTCCTTTCTTCCCCACTCAGCGAATCCATCTCGATAATCCCTCCCAACCTCGCCGGATCCGAAGACCCCGCCTCACCGCAGTCGCTGCTCGTACAAAATCGCTCGAGCGCCGTGGATAGTCCTCAGACGAATGGACACTCACGGCCGCCACTGGCCTCCTCCAAGTCCTTTGATCGGGACACCAGCAACCCGACATCTCCCGGCTCGACGGACACGGCTACCACCTCTTTCCCTCTAAACGACGTCGACTACGAATCCGATCCTGCTGCTGTGGCTCAGGAGCTCAGTAACCTAGCTGCTATCCGGCGGATGTCTATGGACGTGACAGCAACAGGAGATCCCGACCTTCCAAGTTTCTCCGTACCGTCGATAGCTCCATCTCCTTCCGCCGACGAAAATGACGCATCTCGTTTATTCTGGGTTCCAGCTCGGCTGCATCCAGAGCTGGCTCCCAAGGAGTTTAAATCCTTCCTCGAAACCAAGGCGGAACAGATCAGACGAAAATCGGGCGAATTCTCGGGCTTCGAACACGATGGGGCGGGCGGGTCGCTTCGCCGGAAAAAGTCCATGTTGTCCCGACAGATTGACACCTCCCAGGGTTACACGGATGGGGCGGAGCGTCTCGAGCGGAAACGATCGCAGTCGAAGAACAAGTCTCTGAGCCCGAATCTGCTTCAGCTTGAATCGTTAGTAGATGACTCCAAGCAGCAAACCCCAAGCGCGGCGTCCTTTTTGGACGGAGTTCAGAAACTCACCATAGAGGAGGATGTCCCGATTCTGCCTCCCGCACCCCCCGGGCACAGTCTCCGCCGCTCTACCCGAACACAGTACAGAAAAGCCGGTAGTTTGAGAAAAGGCGAAAAGGTTCCCTTCTCAAAGCGGACTGGTAGAGCATCGGACACGAACGACCGAGTTTCTTCAATCACTAGTTCATCCGCGGACGAGCGCTCCTCAGGTCTCACGCGAGTGGCTACCGATCCAACGCCTAGCACAAGGCGCGCACAGGCCGATCCGCAGTACACCACGCAGACCGCTGTCAGCCCTTCTACACAGTTTGAGAATAGCAGGGCGAATGGCTGGCCGGAAACGAATCCTGGAGACAGGACGAATGCTTCTCAGGCACGCCACCAGTGGCACTCTCGCATCAGCTCCAATGGCCGCTCGACCTTGAATATCCCGCCCACCGAACAAAGGGTGCCGGAAATTATCGAGACGCCCCCGGCCGAATCTCCGCCAACTCCCACGACACCCACGACACCCACATACCACCACAGTTACAGCTCGGGGCGGGAGGCATCGCAAGATGCGCCGCCGACACTGCCTTCAAAGGATTCGCCTCTTCGAGATCCGAATACAACCAAACGATCCGGAGCCGCGCGGCAGTCCGGGAAGGAGAGCTCGAAAACTCTCAATGACTTTGCGAATAACCCACAACCACTCCCGGGAAATACAACACGGACGGACAACCTCTCATTCATTCCTACAATATCGGAAGACCGCAAGCCCGAGCCCAAAAAGTCCAAAGACAAGAAAGATTCGGAGGGTGGTCGCAAGTCGAGTTGGCACTGGTTGCTGGGCTCTGAGGAGAAGGAGAAGGAAAAGAAAAAGGACAAGGACAGCGATTCGAAGAAAAGCAAATCGAAGTCGGCGGATAAGGTTCATGAACCGGCACACCCTGCCTCATCCAACGATATCAGTCCGCGCGGGCGCGAAAGTATCACCGTGGATCGGCTCGACCCTAAACTGGAGGAGGAGCGTCGGAAAGACCACGTCCGGCGCACATCGGGGGAGTCCAAGAAGGACAAGGAATCCGGCCTGTTTTCATCGATTTTCGGCGGTGGGAGGAAGAAGAACAGTGGAGATGGCCATCACAAGAAGAGCTCGTCGCGGACATTGTCCCCTGACCCACCCGTTCGCGAGCTACGGCCAGATGTCGATTATCCGTGGACACGATTCTCGATCCTCGAAGAGCGAGCCATTTACCGCATGGCTCATATCAAATTGGCCAATCCCCGCCGAGCACTCTATTCTCAGGTCCTGCTCAGCAACTTTATGTACTCTTACTTGGCCAAGGTTCAGCAGATGCATCCTCACATGATGATGACGTCGTCGGCATCGCAAAAACAGCAACCTTCAAGGGATCAGAACGATGAGTATTCACAGTACCAGAAATACCAAGAAGTAAGTAGACTTTGGGTTTGCGTGTGGTGTTGGGTGAATTTGTTTTAACCCAGAATACAGTCTCAGCAGGAACAGTACAGCGATAGTTCCTACGATGATCCTCAGATGTACGAGTACGGCGACGACCAGCGCGATAATTACCGGCCACATTCAAGGGGTAGTAAGTACGAAAACGGGAATGTATATGGTCCTGGACATCATCAATATGGGCATTCAACGTTTGGCGATGACGTCCAGCTGGACGACGATGATGACGATATGTGGTGAACAAGGAACAGAAGTATTGCGACTTTTACTACTGTTTGTTCTTCTGCAGCGCACGAATACCCCTCTGCCTTTGTCGACTTTGATCCTTCTTAGACTTGTATACTGAAGCCTTTACCTTTTCCCTTTGTTCTGGTCTCCTTCCGTCAATTTGTCCCTGCCTGTCTTGTCTGCTGCGCGAAGAGCGCAGGATCCCTTTATTTGACTCGGGAAAGTGACCGTATGTTACCTGCTATTGACCTGTCCTCAGGGATCCCATTACCCGCCGTCTGATTTCCTTTCTGTGGCGCGTTTTGTCTTTGACACCCTGGCGGCATCGCACTTGAAGTGCCTTTTTGTCATGTTCTGTGCTCTGGTATCTAAGTGCCTGGCACTCTTGCACACATTGATTTGATATATTAGCATAGCGATTGGGGTTCTCCGTGTCTCGATCTGGGTTCACTTTCAACTTCTTGCCTGTCTTGTTATACACCTTTGTACGTTGAATTGCAACGGATGGACTCCGGCCGACTTTCTTGCGACCTGTGCCTGCAATGCTGAAGGATGGACTCATTTCGTAGATTAGACTGCGCCGTAGCAAATTTTACCAAGGCAACGTAGGACAAGCTGTACGACTTTTGGATATAGATAACTAAGTGGAACTCTATAGGACTGCGCGGTATATTGTATTCATCACGTGATCAGAACCTCTCCGGATCTCCACGTCATTGCCATGAGGTTGCCTCTGGGGGAATTCTGGTAATCAGATCAACTTCTCTTGCTATATTATCTCTCAAACGCATCATACTCAGGCCTGATTACTCTTAACTTATCACGCGCTTAACAGACCACGGCCATCGAATTTCCGTGTCAGAAGAACAGCAAACGTCCTTCACCCGACCAACAAAATGGGAGACGCCTACGAACGTGAACAGTACGATCCCCTTTTCTTTGTGCTTGCTAACCCCTTTTATCAAGATGCAGCGCCCAGGCTCGAATATGTGTCCATCAATCAGCTAACAAATTGGCACATCTAGACAAAACAATGCCCTCCTCAACTCCCTATCTAGCAAAGTCTCGGCCCTGAAGTCCGTCACCGTCGATATCTACGACAATGCCCGGGACCACGAAACGCTAGACCACTCTGTTCGTTTTGACCTGCTTTAACTCCGTGTAATCGATATTTGGGCAGATGAATGGTTACTAACAGCGCCAACAGAGCCAGGTTTTCTCCTCCCTATCGACGAACCTCAAAGGCAGCGCGAGCCGCTTGACCCGCATGGCGAAACAGGGGGATACCGTTGCGATTATGAAAGTCGCGGGGATTGTGATTGGCGCGGGGATTGCGCTGTGGTTGTTGCTTGGGTGGATTTTTTGATCAGTGTCGTGGAGAGTACAGCGTCGAGGGTGCCTTGGGTCTTGCGGGTTCAAGATTATGGGCATTAATGACATGGTTGTTTTACATGCCGTTGGATGGATTGTTGCATTTCAGCGTGTTTCTCGGAAGGGTTGTGTATATGGATGGGTTGTCTTGACTCCGTGTATAAGGGTTCCCGTGCTCGATGTTTCAGCGTTCGTCACGATGTCTGTTGATTGAGGTGTGTTTATATCTGAGATCCTATTATTTAATACTGTGACTTGGTGATCCAGGCAATAGTCAATAATAAATTTGGCATGCTGTATCTTCATCCAGAAAGAAGAGAGCTTGTGACTCGATGCACATCTGGATGATAGAGGTGCAGTCATCATGCGGGTCATATCCTTTGCTTGATAACCTTTGCTAACAGGCTCAACCAGAGGTTCGAGGATCCTCAGCTGATCCTGCAGTCGTCTATACGATGAACTATTCCCGACTTTGTTCATCTCATCCACGTACGCAAGCCAGATGCATATCTACCGTATCTCGCGTTGCAGCAAGCCCGTGACAAACCTGGTGTCGCGCACGGATATACAAACCATACGGAGTACTGGCATATTTATTCAAATTCCACACTCGGGAGAGTAGATACCGAAGTATCAGAACAGTCGCGAAAAGTCAAATGATATCGACAGAAATCAAATCACGCACGGCATGCAGCGTATGACTATGGACCAGTCATCTACGGATATGGAATCAGCCTTGCGCTGGGCCCTGCAGTCTGCACTGCAAGTTCTCGCTACAGGCGGCTGATAGGGAATCGTCTCAGGCTCAGCTGCTCTTCTCTCATGCAGGGTATCGGACATACCCCGTGAGAAGGGCACTAGGTAGATAAATAATTTTGCGTTTTTACTATTGCACATCATGGAGGTAGGTACCCTAGGGAGTAGTCAATTTTGACTGGTGAAAAAAGAATTTTCCGATAAAGAAATTGACTCATTGGTACCTTAGGGTGCAGATACGGTCTGGCCATGTGCATCTTGAGAACCATGCCATTGGTTCGCTGTCAAATTTCGTTGTCTGATACCCTACTGATAGGCGAGAAAAGTCCGCAAAAATCATTATCCCTCTTTAGCCGCCGGTGTATTCTAGACGGATTTGGTGGATACCGTCAATATCAGGCGCAAAGAAAGAAAGCTGGCACTGGCAGGCTGGATACCCGTCCTTAGTCTCCCTTAGGATCAAGTTCCCATTCCCTGTGGATCCGACGGAAAAGTCCGCTGTTTCGAAGGAGGATGGATGATAGGCGAAATATGGCGAGCTACCAGATAACGAAATCTTTTGGTGCTCTATGACTTACAAGGTTAAGTGCGGAAGGATGGGCTCTGTCTTAGCCTCTTAGGTATTCTAGTTAGGTCAGTAGAGCGGATGTGGATCGAGTCCGTGCTCGCGTTCTGGATCCAAAAGTCTATGCCAGTGGTGATTTCTTGGGCGATGATAAGGGTTTTTTGAGGAAGCCAAGCTACTGCTAGAAGCGGGTTTTGCTTTCTCTCGGAAAATAAAAGGAATGCGTTGTCAGTGGAGTCTGATGATTCTGGGCTCGAAGTCTCGAACTTATCATGGAAATCTATTGGTGCACGACTGATATCGGGTCGAGTTCCTTGATTCCGTTTTAACCGGGTTGGATTCGGCATGCCGAGTGCGATGGCCTTGATCCTTGCTATCTCCCGGTGTACCGTGCTCCGTCGCTCGTAGCATCATCATCATCCAACCTAAGAAGATTTCTCTAAATAATATCATCTTTGAGACGTCAATAATATGCATTTCATCCACTGAAATCCAGCGCATCCTCCTTGCATCGCTTGAGGTGACGGCACGTGGAGATGTCATGGAGGTTAAACAGTTCGACTGATACAAAGCTATGGAAAAGCTCTGGTGGCTATAGGGCTAGGGAAGGGCATTGCTACCCGACCACTATCATCCGTCCATAGGTTTGAGGTTTGGTGGCCTGAATCAGTCGAGGACCCTCCCGGTAGATCTCTGTATAGGCTCACCGAATCGCGTCCTGAGGTAGGAGCTTTAGACTCAACTCTGAAGTCTCGAACTTGAAACCATTTCCTGGCAGCTAGACTAGAGTACTAGACTACTCTTGATAGAGTGATAGATAGACTGGCATGAAATTTTTTTTTGCGGAAAGGTTGAGGACCCGCGGGTAGGTGGGTCTGGACTGTTAGCTTGCGAAAAAGACAAAGAAAATAAACCGGCTAGATAACGTCAAGCCGTGGGATAATTGAGGTCATTGCTTGCGTCAAGACTCGAGACTGTTATTTTCAGAACATCGATGAAGATCTAGATGCTGACTGGGTTTTTCTTTCTTTGTTACTGACAGGTCACTCTTACGAAGGAGTGCAAGTGATTCAATGAGTCCTTTTACTATGTAAGAAAAGCAATAAGATTGGAAGATATCGATTTTGGCGGGAATTCCGACTGTGGGTTTGCCTATTTGGGTCGATGGCGATCATGACGGGTTGTCCAGACCTGAGTCAGGGATGGGTCCGGACCTTTGATTGCCGTGGATACTATACTGGATGTCGCGAGCTACTAATGATAGATACTGTCGGAGAACGTGCGATTTTCCCCGATCACATGTCATCCAGTCAAATCGTGATGAACTGGTTCATGTTTACGCAAAGCTGAGTTATAGGAGCTTACTGGCACCATTTTGATGTCAGTTCGATTTCATGTGATAGTGACGATCTTGCAATGCTGTGGCTGGCTTCGTGGCTGCTGCAGACAAGAGAGCTTCGGTCCGAGATGTATGCAGAATTTATGCAGGTGCCTGGGGGTTCAAGCATGGGGTTCAAGCACATGCAGGCTTTAGGTCAAGTTTCAACATCATATGGCGGAAGTCATGCCATCGTCGACGATCTTTTACTAGTATCTACCGAACGCAAGGAAACTACCTCGTTTACTACATCCCTGAAGAAAGCTTAATAGCTCGGCAATATTCGATACGAAGGACCATAGCAATGACATCATTGTAGGGTGTCTACTATTGTACTGTTGTCTCCCTGTTTATATATTCGAAATTCCGAAGATCATTCGACGCCGATGTGTCTGATGTTGATATGAGATTTGAAACTGCAGCGGAAGAAACCTATCTACAGATATCATTTGTTAGTCTATTGACTCACAAGGTGGAAGATTCTTGGTGGAGTCTTCCTCGGAAACTAATGCCAAATGCGTGATGTACGCATTCTCGCTCCACTTTCTCTGATTTGGGCTGGCTTGCGAAGCTCGTAGCTTGAGCTGTTGCTCTGGGTTGCTATTGTCATCCTACTTTTAAACTTATATTGATTTGGAAGTCTCCTTTCCAGTGTTTATGAGAGATGATATGCTGTTAACCTGTACATGACAGCTGCAGAATGCTATAGGCAATAGACCTCCGAAACCCCGCTCTGAATTGCGTGAAAGATCATTTACATTCGACACGAGCAGCACTTCGGAAAATACAAATAAAAGATCATATAACTGGCATAAGAAATGCAAGATTTGAAAGTATAAATCTCAGGGCAGTAGCTGAAATAAAGATACGCGGTGTAACCTGCAGCCCGTGGGTATCGGAGGGATCATGCCAGCATATTAGCACATGTTGACATACAAGGCA